CTGGGAGTTGTTCAAGAATTAAGGCCAAAGCAAAAGGGCGCTCTCTTTCTTTCTTCCCCTCTCCTACTTTCTTTTGTCCTGAACGTCTAATTTTCTACCTGAAAACATCTGTAACAAAACATTCTTAAATAAATGTATCTACCTTGAACTCATCAACCCTTTTATCCGGATCATGCACAAAGAAAAAAAAAGGGCTGCCGATGACTAAGAGTGCACCTGAAGGCTGACTCTTTGACCCCCCTCTCTGCTGATCATGATCTTTGACCTCCCTGCTGATCATGAGACCATGTCCTCTCCTCATCATCTCCCTCAGGAGCCGCAGGAAACGGGCTCTTGTGACCCAGTGGTCTGTGCAGCCATGGAGAGGCCCATTACTGCAGTCACATGGCAGGTTAGCACAGGGACTGATGCGACCATGTGAGCTCTATTTTCTAACAAGTTACAGCTTCCCCCGAGGCCCATGATAGTTTCACACAGGACATAGAAAATGTCTGAAAATGCATGGCGAGTTTAGATTCCAAGAAAAAACATGTTTTCTCATTTTTTTGTGTCATTTGCAGGCGTGAACTGAGTCACCTTAAAGAAATGAACAGGTGATAGTTCTTCCTTTAGATCTGAGTGATGGGTGGAATATATATGCACTGTTTAATTTCCTATAAAACAAGTTGGCTGCATATCCATTAAAAAAAAGAATGAGCTTGAAATTAACCTTTTATCGAGACTTATATCGATCACAAAGATGTGACATCTAACCTGTCGAATCTGATATCTCAGCTGATTCTTAAAGTCTTCATTGATAAAAGAACAGTTATTTAGTTTAAAACTTCTAAAGAACATATCCAAAGAAAAATATTAATATGTGCAAAAAATGAAAAGAAAATGTGGAGTTTTATTGTTAAAATCTCATATTAAAGCATCTGATTTTAAACTCTCAGAGTTGAGGAAGAAATGTAAAGGTTATCAGTGATAAGAAGAAAATAAATGAGTTCATTATCACTTTACATTTACATTACATTACATTAAGTCATGTTGGGAGCTGATATCATTACCACAGGTTCTAATTAAACTGAAGGAGTTTGACATCTCTTTTCTTATTTCCAGAAGTTTTACATCAAAATGACCAAGTTTGAAGTTCAGTATTTCCCTCAAATAGTCAAATTGTTTTCAGAGAACATCTACAAATAGACAAGAAATGGTGGAGTATTTGATACAAACAAATAGGCCATTTGAAATTTGAATATCTAAAATATCTGAAAACACATCTTAATTTAGAGAAAAATTAGGGCTATTTTTAGTCTGTAGTCCAGCTGAGGAACAAAAGACCTGCAGGCAAACAGGGAGGAAGAGTTAATACAATCAAGAAACCACATATAGTATTTATCTAAATTAACATCTTCAGAGATGAATCAAACCTTTTTGTTTTTAGTGCACACAAATACAACGTGGACGCTTTAAAAACAACTTTCTGAGGCCCACCGACACACGAAAAGTCACAATGAATTAAAATAAAACTAACCATAAATGCGCAATATTAAAATCCGCTGATTTTATTTTGTATTTCATTCGTTAAAATAAACATATTTTATTGTGTAAAAAGCAGTGAATTTTTAACATTTTCTTCAATAAACATCGGGCCTGTTTTAAAGGCCACGACGCTTTTCTTTCTTCAGTTTGTTCGATTATTAAAAGGTTTTGACGATTTTAAACTACATTACAAGCACATTAATAACAATAAAATATAAACGCATATAAAATACAATGAAAAGCTTAAACAGTTAACGATTTGATTGTTGCATTTTATAACATGAAACTCAGTTTGAGGAAACAAAATATATTTTTTAAAGTTCGTCTAATAATTTTGTCGTAGTTCAAAACATTTGATAATTTAGCTTTTTGAGCTCAAATAATTATGAAAAAATATTTTTGCCTAAATACAAATTGTATTGGCCAACAATATGTCTACATATAGAAAGCGGTTTCATCCTTTCAGAGCATCCATCCCTTAACTTTCTAAATCTCTTTCTTTCATTTCCAATATCATCGACTAATTAAAAACGAATTCAAATGAAACGGAACCACTATAAGCTTAATTGTAAAATAAAACGTGAAAGAAAGTGTCAGTAATTATAAAGTAAACACCACAGGAAGTAAAACACAGTTTAGTTCTCCACAATTCGGCTCTGAAACAACTCAACAGAAAGGCTACAGGACATAATAATGTCACAGATTTGTTAAATTCAATATTACTACAACCATATAAATAGCCTACACCTAACGCCTTATGCTGAAATTATGAATAAGTCGCAGAATACTGTAGTTTATATAAAGGCAGTTGTTAACTCAGCATGCCACAAATTAAATGCAATATTGACTAAATATTAAGAGGGAAATCTAAATGATTACATTGTGCAGCGAAGGAGACACTGACGATATATATAAAAAACCACCTTGCTGTGTCTGGCAGACTCCCTGGGGGGCCATGCACATCCAGCTGCACTAACTAAACACTCTCCGTAAAACCGCAGCTTCCTCCAGCCCTCCGGTCTGTACAAACCCAACAAGCTGCAGAAAGGACGCGCACTTTTTTAAAACACTTTCCTGCAAAACAACAAGCATCAACCCCCCCACCACCACCACCACCTCATGTCGGCTAATACAGGCAGAAAAAAAAAACCACACTCACTTCACAAGCCTCGGAGGCCTCATGCAGGATCCCACTGTAGCCGGTTGGTCGGTGGGGTGCAGCATGAAGGTGTCCCCCACCCCCACCACCACCACTATCACCACCACCAACCCTTCATCCCCAAACACAACCCCCCACCCCTCTCCCCTTCCCTCCACTACCATCAGCACCTCCGAGGCCCAAATCCAGGTGCCGTGGAGAGTGTTTAGAGACAGAAAAGTGTCGCAGTGGGAGAAACAGAGAGAGATCCATGTGTCCCGTCTGCTGCAGAGTATTTTCTATGTGTGCGCGACTAGTGTCTATGCTCGGACATAAGGGGAGAAAGACGCACACATCGCTCTCTGTTATCAATTTTTTCCATGTTTGCAGCACAAAACTGCTTTTTGTTCCCCATTTTTTCATTTACGAGGGTTAATGGATAGAGGCTTGGGCGTTTGATCACATGGCTGCAATTCACCTGAGATGGAGACAAAGAGAGCAAAGAGAGAGGAGAGAGAGAGAGGGAGAAAACCGAGAGCCGGGCTCAACATGAGAAGCAACGGACACACAGGGGTTATTGTTGCATTCATTTTGTGAGTGTGTGTGTGTGTGCGTGTGTGTGTGTGTCCGGGTGCGCATCAGATGCTGCCGAAGTCGATTCTCTTTCTTCCCATCAGGCCATGCTTTAACGGCACAAATCATGGCCTACAAGCATGTAGTGGAAATAAAATAGGTTATTTCACCGCTGCAGTCTTGTTTTACGCACAGAAAACCAACACGAGGAAAGACAGAAGTCTCGGACTGACTGATTATAGACTATTGATTGACTTTTCATTAGTGAGGCTGAAGGAGCCAACTTACTGTTTTCATATCTTTTTATGTTTCCAGCCTTCATGCGGCCAATTTTTATCCAGAAAACAGCTTGATTAGATTATTAGATTTGACTATTGATAAATTCATTCTGGTATTAGCCACATGAATTAAATAATTCCACATCGATCTGAGTTTTAGATATGAACCTTAAATTTAATGTTAGTGAGGTCTTTAAAGACAAACTCGAGGTTTCTGTAACACTGACTTACCGGAAGGATGAGTTCAGTAAAAGTAGGACATTCAAGCATCGCATTGTTTTGCCATGTCACCTAATGGAAAAACAAAAAGTATCTTAAAATCTTGCAACTTGTCACTCAAAGGTCATCTGTATCTGTGTGACATCACCATCGTGGGCGTGGTCGAAAGAGAGGCTGGTTGGCAAGTGTTCAGGGAAAATGAATTAGACCCTAAAAGACACAGGCCAAAGCGTTGTTTTTAAGTAAATAGATGATGGGCAGCTATTACAAACACTGTGTTTAGTAAAAGTGGTGTTGTGTTTGATCACATTTGAAAATAAAAATGCACGATGTGTCGCTTTAAAGTACATTGTTGTGTAGATTCGTCTTCAATAGACCAGCTGTGCCACTAAACCTGAAAACCCTGAATGAAGGAAAAAGGGGGTCTTTTTTTTCAGAATCAAATCTCCTCAGAACTTTACACCAACATGTGAATAAGGGCTGAATCATTTTGTAGTGATGCAGTGCGTTTGCGCACTTTGGCTGCGCCAATTTTTACTAAATAAAACCTTCTTTAAAAGTTAATTGATTGATGATTTCATTAAACAGGCTGACAGAGCGAACTCACTAATGTTTACTTTTATTTTGTTTGTTTTTAAAATATCTTATTATGGCGATATTATTGCTCATTAACCCAATTATAGCCTTTCCCAATACCTGATTAATTATTTTTTCTTTTCTTGTAAAAATAAGACCCAGTATTCATTAACTTAACTGATGTCTTTCTGCTTGAGTTTTACAAGATTTTTACTATTATTATTATTATTATTATTATTATTATTATTATGAAGATCGTAACTAAAAATTGTGAGCTTTATTTCCTGTATCAAACTGAATCCGGTCATTTAAGAGCTGAACTTTACAATTCAGGCGGGACGTTTTTAGTTTTTTTTTTTAGAAACGTGACCACAGGAGGCAATAACTCTCCTCATGATTGTTTATTTGTTTGATATAACATGTCAACATGTCCCAACAAAGCTGGCCTTCTCCTGCCTCTAAATGGGCGCACTGTAGAGTCATTTAAGCCACTCTCATAAGATTTCACCTCTTCGTTGGAAATGTTGCAGTGACGGACAGACGGGCATTAACAGTGTATTGCTCCCGTCCAATCAGAGAGCAGCGGGGAAATTAAAGGGCCAATCGGAGCGCGGCGCGGCGCGGAGGGGGCGGGGCTGACTGTGTGCTGGAATGCTGCCTCTCTGGGAATGTTTTCCACTTTCAATCACATTTTTTTTCTCCCAGTCCTTCTCACAAGGCGCTCTTTAAGCTCCGGTGTTGCCACACAGAGCAGCCATTCATCGGCTCTACAGTCAGCCACACACACTCCCATGTTGAACCACTGGACATCTAAACTGGTAAGTTATGTAATTTCTTTAAAACTAAATTCATATGACAAAAGGGAATATTTCATATCGGTATTTATGTGCCACTTGTGTTCTCATTGGGTTAGGGTTAGGGTTTTTTTTTTTTATTAAGCGAGGTTTAGCGTTAATTAAGCGTTGATGAAAATATTCTATCTGCGGATTATAATTTTTGTGGACGCGGTTCTTTCGTCCAGATATCATTATTATTAGGCCATTATTATTATTAGCTAGAGACGCTGTTTTGCTCGCTTTATGGTCACGTCCAGTCCGCTTAACCTGTTTAGTTTGAAGTAAACAGAGGCATGTTTGATTCACAGGAGAACAAAAAATATAAAATGGTTTTAATTTGTGGACTTTATTAGTACTGAAATGTTTATGTTATACTTTATGTGATTTTTTTTTTTTTTTTTTAGGTTTAACTGCTTTTGCTGAAACTGATTTCCAGCCAGCGGTGGAAAGGATTTGGACACTTTTACGCAGCAGTATGGCTTTGCCTGAGAAGAGTCAGCAATAACTGGGATCGTCGCAGAGTCCAGACATCTTATTCGATTAAAACGATTTAATTACATTGAATAGTTTGGACTCCAATTGAAAACCAATTTTGCATTCGAGGGCTGTCTTGTCATTAGTGGAAAGCAAAACAAAATGTCCGGCGAGGAGCACAGCCTGTCCGAGGCGGAACTGAGTCCCGGAGGGTCAGACGATGGTCACTCACTGTCACCGAGCCAACCTGGAGCGCCACCCGGCCAGGACTCACCTCTGACCGGGCCGCCGCCGCAGCTCGCCGCGCTCTGTGTCGCGGACGGCAGCGGGGACGATGGAGGCAGATCCGGAGCCAAATCAGAGGAAGAGGAAGATCGCTTCCCGATCGGCATCAGGGAGGCGGTCAGCCAGGTGCTGGACGGATATGACTGGACACTTGTGCCAATGCCGGTGCGCGTAAACAACGGAAACAAAGCTAAACCCCACGTAAAGAGGCCCATGAACGCCTTCATGGTGTGGGCGCAGGCGGCGAGGAGGAAGCTGGCAGACCAGTACCCCCACCTGCACAACGCGGAGCTCAGCAAGACCCTGGGCAAACTGTGGAGGTTTGTATGGGGTGGTTGTCTCAGAAAAGGGAACAGCGTGGCCATACAGTGGCACATTTCCTGTGTGCGTAAAGGATACCTTGGGGATGTAGATGCTGAACTCAAATGTAAAAGTGGGCAAATTATAAACTCAAATTGTTGATTGTAAACATAGAAAACACACAGAAGCAGAAATAAATGTGGTGTTTCTTTAATATCATGTATAATGTATAATGTGTACTATATATAATGTTTACTCAAACTTTATTTAAATCAGCCTAAATGGCGAGTTTCACCCTCTTAATTTCCTGTAGGCACATTTATCAATTACGCACGGGGTTGAATTCGACATTATTTATAATTTTCACATGCTAAGAACATACTTTCACATTAACTCAGGCGGCGTGTCAGACTAAAATCGCTCCTTGTTTTTCTCCCCCCAGGCTGCTGAACGAGAACGACAAGAGGCCATTCATCGAGGAGGCGGAGAGGCTGAGGAAGCAGCACAAGAAGGACTACCCAGAGTACAAGTACCAGCCCCGGAGACGCAAAAACGGTAAACTAGCGCCTGCTAGTGAGTCCGATAGCCAGGGGGAAGGGGAGGCCAGCCACTCCCAATCACATTACAAGACTCTGCATCTGGAGCACAATGGCGGGGCTGGGTCTCCCCTGGGTGACCTGCACCACCACCACCATCACCACCACCATCCTGCTGGTAGGTGGCTCACAGGTTTTGAATCTGGACACAATGATCATAATATCAGATATTTGATCAATAAAAAAGGGGAACATAAAAAACACTTAGACCCACAAGACCTAAAGAACACCAAAAGCAGACAAAATGAAACTTTGGATGTCACAGTTCACCTGACCGTGCTGTCCTTTCCTCTTCTTTCCTCTAGGTCAGGGTCACAGCCCACCCACGCCCCCCACCACCCCAAAGACAGAGCTCCAGTCTGGGAAACTGTCAGATGCCAAGAGGGAGGGGGCAACAGGAGCGGCTGGAGGATCAGGGGGGTCCAGGGGAGCCCTTGGGGTGGGAGCTGAAGGGGCATCCGGTGGTCCATCATCATCAAGTGCTAAACCCCACATCGACTTTGGCACCATGGACATTGGCGAAATCAGCCACGAGGTGATGTCCAACATTGAGCCGTTTGATGTAAATGAGTTTGACCAGTACCTTCCTCCAAACGGCCACCCGCAGAGTGCAACCGGGGCCCCCACAGCTGGATCCTCGGCCTCGTCTTACGCCTACGCCCTGGCTGCTGCTAGTGGGCACTCCGCCTGGCTCTCCAAACAGCAGCAGCAGCCTCAAGCTTCTCCGTCTTCCTCCGACCCCTCCAAGGCCCAGATCAAGAGCGAGTCTGCGTCCGGGAGCCACTACGCCGAGGCCTCGTCCTCTCCCTCCTCAGGCACCCACGTCACTTACACCCCGCTCAGCCTCCCTCATTATGGCTCCGCTTTCCCCTCGCTCGCTTCCAGGGCTCAGTTTGAGTACGGAGAGCACCAGGCCCCCGGGGCGTACTATGCCCACTCCAGCCAGGCCCCGGGGCTGTACTCAGCCTTCTCCTACATGGGCCCTACACAGAGGCCTCTGTACACTACCATAGGAGACCCCTCCAGCGTGGCCCCCTCTCACAGCCCCACACACTGGGAGCAGCCTGTTTACACCACACTCACAAGACCTTGAGGGAGACCAGCTGAGCAGAGGGAAATATGGGAAGTGTGTGAGTGGATCTGTGTGTCTGACGGTGTGCAAATATGTGAGCGTGTGTATATGTGTGTGTGTGTGTGTGTGTGCCCGTGCCATATTGATGTTATATTAGAGGTTTTTACTTTTTTAGCCAATATAATGCAAGACGCATCCACGGGGGGCCTTACACAGTTTAAAAAAAACAAAAAACAGCCACAAACTCACACAATGTAAAGTGTGAAGTCAACAGCCAATCAAAAATTAAATAAACTTTAACAAACGTGTGCCATCATAAATTTATAAGTCGGGATGTACAGCAAGTGTGTATACGGTAAATGAATGAGACACAGAGTGAACAATGTTGCATTGGATGAGTGATTTGACCCAGAGATGACGGGGTTAGACTGACGTAATCAGATTTTATTAACCAAACTAAAGCAGATGTTTTTGATGTTATTGTGTTATTTTATATGAGTAGTAAGGTTATTGTTGTTGTTGATATCCTAGGGTGTAACTTTATTGTGACTGATTTGATATTACACTAATACATCTGCACCACTGCTTTGGGAAAAGCACGTTTTGTGTCAACAAGATGTTCCCTGGAGTTGTTTTTTTCGTGGCCAGAAAAGGATAGTTGCAACCTTTTTTTTTGTTTTCTTTGTAGATAGCACACTCTGTATTTCTGTCCCTTCATTACATTGACTTCACTGAACTGAAGAATTAAGCAAGGGGAAAAATGGGAAAACGAGAGGGAAAGAGAGCTCTTAAAGATGTATTTCAGCTTATCGCTCAGTCTCGGAAAACTTACCTCAACTCTATTCATTTTGTGCCAATAGCAAAGGAGAAATACGACTCTGGATACCTGATAAAATAATGCTGAAGGTATTCAAAACTTCACAGCAGTAAACCTCCACTTCGGTCTTCTTCTTCTTCTTTTTATTTTGCTTTTTAAGTGCCTAACATTTTGCTGATTCACATCTGATTTATCCAATAACTGAGTTAAAATCTATAAGTACAAAGTCCCAACCAAATCTCTTCAGATAATTGGCCAGCTTTGGGTCCTACTTAAGGATTAGAATCACATGTACGACTGTTCTGCACTGCATTTAGGCCAAAAGCATGTTTTTTTTTCGTCTTTACAGGTTTTTCCTATATTGTGCCCAAATAGCCCTCTTCCTCTTCAGCAATGTGAATAATGGTCATTACCACAGGCTTCACCTTTATTACGTGATGCATACTTTATCATTTTATACTGACCCTCTTACCATGTAGTTATTATTTTTTATGTAAGTAATAATGCATTGTGTGTCACACCTTTGCTTCTTCCATTTTGTATAATTCTGGATAGTTTTGTAAAGTGTTTGCTATACATTCACTTGAGTATTTTGCTTCCATACAAGAAAAGCAATGTTGAAATATTATTGTTGTCATCTATTAAATCAATTTATTTATAAAAAAAAAAAAAATCCTGTGTAAGAGCATTATTTCATGCAGCAGCGATGGTTCAGTGATAACACGTGGAGCAGTAGTAAGTGAAGGGTGACAAAAAATAAATTAAAAACACGCTGCTGACGTGTGAACTGTAATAACAACACAATCAGTGCCCCACCAACCTAAGCTGTTTAGTGTGTTTGTGTGTGTGGTAGGCTAAAATTGACTACTAATTCCCCACATTTAATCGGCTGGGGACTGCGTGTTACTGAGAAAGACAAAGAGAGCCATTCAGCGAGGGAGAGGGACAGAAAGAGAGAGAAGGGGTGGGTGTAAAGAGCCAGAGACAAGGCCAATTTCAGCTCAGAAACCAGCATACACTTGGACTTTTGTACATGGCTTTTCCTTTCCTTTCACTCTGCCCTCTTCTCTCCACCTGAGGCTCCCTCCCTGCCTCCACAGTCAGCTGCTGTTAAAACCCATTCAGCGGGCATCCAACATCGAAATGTCAAGTTCATTGCAGTGGCATTATGTTTGAGGGGGATGCAAAGCAAAGAGCATGATAGACGTGGGGATTTTTTTTGCAAAATAAATAAATAAATATCCAAAATTAATAGGTGAGATTAATTAATCTGTTAATCTTTGAGAAAGGACCATCAATTACACAAACTCCACTTTATTTATGGTGGCACTTGGATTCCTTCAACTAATCAGGTGATATACAAACACTGTTAGAATCATATTGAGAGCAAGAAAAGAAAAGAGATAGTGAGGTAGGAGAAGAAATTAACTAGTCTGATGAAAATACAAAACAAGGACAATAACTGCTGTGATTCTAGCTTGATGTCAACCTCTTTGGCTTATTGCAAATACCAGAAGTAAACCTTTAATTGCAGTAAACAGTAAGGGAGGGAATATTAGAAAACTGAAAATGAATTATTATTACACAGAAAATAAGATATAGAGACATCTGGATTTATGATAGATGTGAAGGTTTTGGTGAAAGAAGTTAGAAATAAGCAGTTTTTATCTGTTTTCAGGGATGGTCTGGGTTACCAGCTGTGCAAAGCTCACATCAAGGCCCCAGATCCTTAAGGGCCCTGTAGCAGGGGGACATCATTGTGTGTTACTTGTGTGCAAATGTGTTTAACATTAAGAAATATCAACACAAATGTAAAGGTCTTGAAGACGTCAGTGGGAATTTATTTTTGCTCTGAGGACTGATCTGTTTTATGTAACTTTTGTAATATATATATGAATATATGTCCAACTTTTCATCTTGCAGGTACAGACATTTCATATATGGCAAGGAATGACATTCTTATTGATATGATCTGTAGCTGATATGTGAATACAAAACAAAAAGTAAAGACAAGGTTAAGACGAGTAAATCACAAAAAAAGGATTGTTGTTTGTTTAAAAAAATATCCAGCTGTTGGGATTACCTGTGCGGAAAGTAACAGGTCAAAGTAACATCATCAATATTTAGGTAACATTTTATTTGAGTATTTCTGCTTCATCTGACTTCACTTAGGCTACTCTCCACTTTATAAGGGAAATATAATACATTTTAGCGACTCCATTAGAATATATTTATTTGACAACTGTAATTGGGAGTTACTTTTCAGATTAGGATTTTATACACAAAGCATAGAATCATCTGTTAAAATATGATATACTGGAACAGATTTATCTAATCATCACTATTTAAACAGTTCAAATTACTCCGTCTTGACCAGATGCAACATTAACATGCTGTTTACTTGCTGATACATTTCCAACAGCAATTCAATAATATCAAATAGAGAATAATACTCTGAACGGGGCAATTCTGTCAAATCATTTTGACTTTAGATACTTAATTTGCTTGTATAGGCTACTTTTACTATTTCGTGAGTATTGTGGTATTACTACTTCTACTTGGAAAGGGTTTTGAGTACTGACATGTTACAGGCTATGCATGCATCAGACTTAAAGTAATACATATAAAAAAAGACTTACCTGTTAATTTGTCTTTTTTCATACACATCTCTCTTTTTCTCTGGGTGAACTGTGAATTTCCAGGTCAGACTCCAGACCAACTACTGGTTGTTATACATCTAAAATCATGAAAGAATAAATAGTATAGTATAGTAAATAGTAGGGTGTGTAGTCATTACCCGTCTGAGAACAGGACATATAGGATTAAATCATACACTCCATATAATCACCATGCATCCTAGTGGACTATGCACTCATTGTAATAAAGTCAGCAGGGAATTAATATCAGCATTAGAGCAGGGACACAAAACTACACTGGAGAATCTACTCAGAACGAAATCACAGAGAGCACAAAACCTTTTAGTTAATTATTTAAGAATAACAGAAAGAATTTAGTGATTTAGTGATTTAGTTTTCTTTGTTTTTGTTTTTGTTGTTTTTCCGGACAATCCTCCCGGTCCAGCAGGTGGCGGTAATGCGCCCGTGAGCTGGTTTGTCTGCCGCCATTAACACCCGAAGAAGAAGTAGCGCGTGACGTCACTCCAGGGGCGCCAAAAGTTGCAGCAGAAACAACAAACACAACAAACACAACTCGGAGCAGTTCCTGTCCAAACAGGTGAGAATCAGCTTCACGAAGAGTCACCGCCATATGTGGGACTTGAATCACTTCTGGCAACAGCCTCACCTTCTAGTTGAATCCGAAAACAGCTTTGTGTTGTGGTAAAATAAGGTTTGAGCTGGTCTGTAACGGGATTGTAACGCAGCGCAGGAGCGAGCAGCTCTGCGGGTCCTGCTGAGGCAGCTGGTCGGGAGCTGTGACTCTGTCTTTAGGGCCGAACACACAGTTGTACACTGAGTAAGACTTGAACGCGATTGGACATATTTAAACTCTGTAACACTTGTGTCTGTGGTCCTCTGCAGCCAGCTGTCATGGACCTCGGCCCCTTTGAAGGAGACAACTCTGTCAGCTGCAGACTGGCCTCTCAGATCCCTGATGTGTGCCGGACTGAGGACTGCTGTCTGGGCATCGATGAGGCAGGCAGGGGGCCTGTGCTGGGTAACCTTACATCTTATGTTGCAGTCGTGTATAATTCATTATGGAGATATTGGTTTGATTCACTGCGTTTGAATGTTTGTTTTAGCACTCGCTGCATTGCTGTTTACCCACTCACTGTATTCATGTGTTGTGATTCAGGACCCATGGTGTATGGAATATGTTTCTGTCCAGTCTCCAGAAAACAGGAGCTGAAGGACTCGAAAGTGGCAGGTAATGTGGTTGGTCTACCTCTCTGCAGATGGATGTGTCAGGCCTCTCAGCATGATTCCTCAAACTCATTTTCACTGCTGTCTTACTGAAGAAAATGTTTAGCGTCAAATGAAATTCTTCATTGCACCCTCAGTAATATTACGTTCTTGCGTTTTAAAACAAATTCATGCACTTTGTCACTCCCGTATCAGATTCAAAGACTCTAACAGAGGCAGAGAGAGAGAATCTTTTTGAAAAACTGGATGAAGCCAAAAGTTATGTCGGCTGGGCTCTGCAGATTCTCTCACCAAACACCATCTCCACCAGTATGTTACAGAGGTATTTGACTCATACAGTGTCATGCTCCCACAGACCTCCTTTTTTAATAAACTGTGTTTTTTATTCCCACCCTAATAAAATTGCTTGCTTTTGTTAGGACAAAATACAACCTGAACGCCCTTTCACACGATACAGCAATCGGTCTAGTACAGTACGCCTTGGACAATGGAGTACAGCTCAAAGAGGTCTGTAAACAGGAATGAATATAAGAGTGTCAGGGTCATACTTTCTGCTGTGACTGAACACACAAACAAAAACTTAATTTAGTTCCTGTACGTAGTTTAGCCGTACACTTTCTAGTGCCTTTCAATGGAACATTTGAATTTCACAACACGTACACACCTCCCTGGTTTTATGCAGGTATTTGTGGACACAGTCGGCCCAGCAGACAAATATGAGGACAAACTCTCCAAGCTGTTCCCTGGTATCGACGTGACTGTGAGGCCAAAGGCTGACTCCCTCTTCCCCATCGTCAGTGCAGCCAGTATCTGTGCCAAGGTTAGTGACCGCCAGCCAACTGGATCTCAGTGTCTTTCTCATGCCATTCACATTCCTAATTATTAGTTTGTCAGCCTCATATTACTGAACCTACAGAAGGCTGTAACGTTAACGTGAGTCTTTATTGAAAGAAGTCAGTTCTGTTGTGGGAATAGTGAAGCGAGTGTTTGTTTTGTTTCTCTTTTTTATCTCTTTGCCTTTGGGTAAAGGAAGGGCATTTGAACATATAATACATAGTTATTGCAAGATACATTTTCATGTATTTAATAAAGTAACAACAGGAGTGCGATTCTGAATCCAGTTGTCCAAACTTGTGCGACCAATAAGTGCAAAATGTAGTTTTTATAAGTTGAATTCAGCTACGTTCATTTTTATGTTGGTTAGCAATTATTGAGCTGATATGTCCAAATCATTGTTAAATATTGCCATTGCTTTAGTGTGAGTAAATTACTGTGAATGGGGGCTTCATTGTCAGTTTATTTAATCCACTGAGGTGTAAACAATGTGTACACCTTTTCCTCCACATAAAATGGTGTTTATTCTGCTGCTGCCCGCCCCATCTTACAAGTGTGAAGTGCACTGCAGCCACGATGCTCAGGTGGACAGTGTGGCTGCTCTAACCTGTTAACACGGGTGCAGAAATAAAAAGCGGGAGGTTCTGCGACACACACACACACACACACACACACACACACACACACTCTGAGGCAGTGTGTCCAGACCATAAGGCACTGAGAGAGATGAGTGGATAACCTCTTGTATTCCTTCTTTAATTCAAATTTCCCAACTCTACCAGTGCATCATGTGCAAACGTGTAATCATAGTTGTCAGGTTATTTCAGGGGCCCTAATTTATGATTATAGAACTAACATTTTCTGCTGCTGACAAGCTCATTGGCGACATTGTTCTGTAATCTTAAAATGAGTCAGTAGTTTTTCTAAAGCCATGGGCTGATTTTCAGGTTGCCAGGGACCGTGTTGTAAAGGGCTGGAACTTTTCTGAGGACCTGGGAGGGGTGGATACAGACTACGGCTCAGGATACCCCAACGGTAAGAGAAACTGCTATTATGATCCTCCCATAACGACATCCATGTTTAAAAAATACTTATTAAATGAATAACATTTTTAAGTGCACTAATATTTGTGTCACTGGTAACTTTACCTAAACAAGTCAGTTATCTGTGCATGTAGATTAACTGATACTGAGACTGAGATTTCTTTTCCCGTGTTTTCAGATCCCAAGACTAAAGCGTGGCTCCTGAAGTACCTGGACCCAGTGTTCGGTTACCCTCAGTTTGTTCGATTTAGCTGGAGCACTGCCCAGACCCTGATGGACAGCAAGGGTGTCACTGTCCACTGGTAAAGAGCCTTCCAACTTGATTTTGACCAAAGACCTTGGATGTATAAAAGCAGAGCTTGATCTGAAGACGAACGTCGTTGAAATCCAGCATTAAAACATGATTAGTTTCCTCTTGATTATAAAAAAAATACAATATTTTCCAGCCTTTTTCCAAGGTTATAGAAGCCAAAAAACTTGACAGAAAGGCTTTTGAAAACTACTTTGTTGTGTGTCTGCCTCTCTGTGTGTTAATAAAAATACTTCCATGTGTAGATGTTTTGAAAACCACAACCCCTTTGATTACCAGGTCACGCTTAATGTCTGTGTAAATCATTTGACTTTTAGAAACTAGTGCTAACCACAGAGAACAAATCAGTCTTGTTATTTATTCATTTATTTATTTTAAAATCTGTCCTCAGGGATGATGATGATGAGGATGGGGAGAAGGCGGCGCAGAGGAAGAACAACAAGTCCATGTTGTCCTACTTTAGTGCATCAGCTGGAAGTAACGACCAAAACCCGACCCACCAGACACACCGCTTCTTCACCGATCGGAGGCTGAAGAGCCTCGACACACTCTGAAGACAACACAGTAGAGGACACACACACACACACA